CTTTCTAATTGGGTTATGGAGCTTTTTTATTTAACTGTTTAGTATTTTTAAAGATTCACTTATTTATGTGAAGGGCAAAGTGAGAAAGAGATCTTCTATCCATTCCTTCATTGCCCAAATATCTCCAAATGCCAGAGCTGGTCCAACCCGAAGCCAGGGGCTTGGAACTCCATCCTGAAGTCAGGAGCCCACATGGGTGGCAGGGGCCCAAGGACTTGGACCATCTGCTGCTGCCTTCCCAGGCACATTCACAGGGAGATGGATCAGAGGCAGAGTGGCCAAAATCAAATCTATGCTCCGATATGGGATGTTGGCATTCCAAGTAGCAGCCTAACCCACTGCCCTCCTCCACATAAAATTTACAATGATCTTGTCTGCACCTACAAAAATACTCTGCTTTGATTTTAGTAACAGTTATGTTAAACCTGTATATCAGTTTGGGGAGAATGGACATTATGTTGAGCAAATCTCTGCATTTATTTTGGTTTTTGTTTCTATGACCAGCTGTTTGTCAGTTTTTTTTATTTATTCCTCACGTTACATCATTCTTATTATATTTTGCTGAATTCTCTGACAATAATTTGTTAAGAATTTTTACTCAGGAAGAACATCTGGTTTGGGTATCAGGGTAATACCAGCTTTGTGCAGTGAACAGGACATGGTCCCTGTTCCCTTTTCTGGAAGAGACTGTGGAGAACTGGTATTAATTCCTTAAAGATTTGATACATTTCTCCAGAGAAATCAATTGAGATACATATTTCCTTTTGATGACGTTCTTAATTATTAATTCAATGTCCTTAATAGTTGCAGGACTATTTAAATTATGTATGTACTACTGGGGGAGCTGATCGTATCTGTGCAGAGCTGTCGTTACTATTACCTTGTTCTCCACCTGATGTCTGCAGGGTCTGTAGTGATAACTCATTACACACCTGACACGGACAACTTGTGACTTCAGCCTTCTTTGTCATTCTTGCTAGAGGTTTATCAGTTTCATTGATCTTTTTCCAAGAACCATCTCCTTGTCTTTTAATTTTCTCCATTTTATTTTAATTTAAAGTCATGAACTTTTCTTCATGATTTCCTTCCTTCTTGCTTTGCATATTTTGCTGTTCTTCTTGTAGGCTAATGATTTGTGAGCTTAGATAATGTAAGACTTTTTCTCTTTTCTAAGGTATGTGGTAGAGCTATAAATTCCCCTCTAAGCCCTGATTCAATTACACCCCACAGATTTTAATATGCTTTCTTTTCATTTTTACTCAGCTTAACATGCTTTTTAAATTTCTTGTGACCCTCCTTCTTTGATCTAAATATTATTCAGAAGTCTGTTGTTTTATTTCCAAGTGCTTGGATATTTTCCTCTTATCTTTGCTATGGACTTCTAGTTTGATTCCAGTGTGGTTGAGGGACACACATTGAATGATTTAAATTCTTTCTAAGTCACTGGGGTTTTTCTTATGGCCCAGACAGCGACCTGCTTTGGTGTTGGCTCTGTGCACCCTGTGTACGAGCTGTTCCCGGGTGAGGTGTTCTCTGTGGGTTGAGGGGGCTGCTTCTTCCGTGCCACTGCCGATGTCTCTCTAGTTGTTCCATCCACTGTTAAGAGAGGCATACCGAAACCTCCAACTGGAACGGCCTGCTTCTTCCTCCAGTTCTCTCAGTCTCAGCTTATGTATTTTGCAGTTCTGTTGTGTAGTGCATACATAACTGAGGTTACTAGGCTTCTTTGTGGGCTGACACATTTATCATTATATAAGCCTCTCTCTGGCAATTCCTTTGCTCTGAAGTCTACATTATCCTGCTTCTCAAATATCTACTCTGGATTCTTTTCAATAATGTTTTCATATTTTCACATCAACCTACCTATATTGTTGTATTTGAAGTTCATTTCTGATACAAGTATATTGTAGGGTCTTGTTTTAAAATTTATTCTGAAAATCTGTCTTTTAATTAGTTTATTTAGACTATTTACATTTAATTGACATGTTAATGGTTACACTGACTTTTTTAGCTTTCTATTTGTTATCTCCATTTTTTTCATTTCTCTCTTCTCTGAATTTTGTGCAGTTCTGTTGTCACACTTATTTTAGAATTCCATTCAGACTTATCTGTGCTGTGTTTTTTCACTTTTATTTACTTATTCATCTATTTATTTCTCTGAAAAGGAGAGAGAGGGAGAGGGAGAGGAAGAAAGTCGATTGATCTTTCATCCATGGTTCACTCCGTGGAGCAGGCTGAAGTTAGGAGCCCAGCACCCCACCCTAGTATCTGACACAGGTGGCAAGGACCTGAGGGCTTGGGTGGGTGTGTCCAGGGTATGCATTACCAGGAAGCCGGGTCAGCAGTGGAGGAGCTGACATAGGATGCAGGCATCCCAAATGTTGCCGTAACTGCTGCCCTCATCTGCAACGTTTTCAAACTTATCTCCTCTTACTGCTTTCTTCTGGTTCCTCTGAGTATTATATGTGTTATATAATATATATTACATAATATATTATACACATTCATGCATATATTATACATATGCGTGTGTGTATATATACACATATAAAATTTATTGCCAACTATTTGTTGCATAGTTTTACAAATTTAAATAAAATATTGGAATATTACCTCTTCTTACCTTCCTGTTTATAACAAAACTGTCTTAAATATATTTAGAACAATATAGAACATGCTGAAAATTTTCATTTCAAACATCAGACATCGTTGGAAAACTCAAGAGGTGAAATTTCATTGTGTCACCCACATTTCTGCTTACTGTGTACTTTCTTCCCGATGTTCCAAGGTTATTTTTTCAAATGATTCCTTTCTTTTTGGAGAATTTCTTTCCAACACTCTTGTAGGGTAGCCCTGCTGCAGACACAGTCTTGTAGTTTCCCCTTTCTTGGTAACGTCTGATTTATCCCTCGGTGCCTGAAAGACGTCTCCCCTGGACACAGGATGCGGGTTGACAGTGCTTCTCTTCGGCTGCCATAGTTGCGCCACCTCCTTCTGCCGGCCCCAGGGTTGAGGGAAGTCCTCTGTCCTTCAAGCTGTTCTCGCCACATGCACTGTCATTTCTCCTTTGTTGTTCAAAGGTTTCCAACTTGTCTTCCGTGTTTCGAAATGCGATTGTGATTTATCTTGGTGTGGGTTTACTGGGATTCACCTCTGCAGAGGCCCCTGGCTTCCTTGACTTCAGGGCTGGAATCCTTGGCCACACGTGGGAAGTTTTTAGTCATTACTTCTTTTCATTCTTTCCCAGCCCTGCCTTCTTGTGCTCTCCTTCCAGGACCTGCTAACACAGGGTCCAGGGGGCCCGGAACCCTGTCATCCACCACCCATCCATTTTCTCTTTTCTGTTCAGACTGGGAAATACACCGCTCTCTGTTCAAGCTCACTGACCACTTCCCCTGTTCCCGCCATCGGCTATGGAGCTCACCATTAAGTGTTTTTTTAATTTCAATTACTTTTCAGCTGTAAGGTTTTCATTTGGTTATTTCTATTAGCTTTTTGTTACTTTAACTAAATAGCTGAGGGGAGCTACTTAAGATGAAAGAAGGTTTATTTCAGTTTAACGTTTTGGAGGTCCATAGGCCAAGACTGGGCAGACCCATTGGTCCAGGCATCTAGGGAGGCTGGAAGACGGTGGTGGACAATCACAAGAGGAGCCAGGGAGCAGACAGACCCAGCGAGCACTCTCCATACATCACACACACACACACACACACACACACACACACAGTAGCTTCCTCCTAGTCACCTAATCTAATACAATGCTTTCCCAAAAACCCCACCTTCAAATACCATGAAGTGGACCAAGCCTCCACCCTCAGTCCATCAGCATTAACACCACACCAGGAGTCACTAAGATTCTGAAGTTTGCACATCTGCATGATCTGGGGGACTCGAGTCCCATTAAATCCAGGACATTCTTCTTTATGTCTTCTATTTCTTCATTGAAACTTTCTATATTTCTCACTTACTTCAACCAAGTTTGTAATTGCTTACTGAAACATTTTTATGATGACTGCTTTAAAATCCTATCAGATAATTCAAACCACTTTGTCATCTCAGTGTGGGTATCCACTGGTTATATTTTTAATTACACGAGATCTTCCCATGTTTGTGTGATTAATGATTTTTGAGAGAAGCTTGGACATTTTGAATGTTATGTACTGAGACTGTGGATCTTGTTAAACTTTCTGTTCTAGGCAGCTTCCTCTGACAGTGGTCTAAGAGGAGGCTAGGAGGAGGGCGCCATCTGTTCCTGCCAAGTGGGCACGGAACTCCAGGCCCAGGCACAGCTGCCACTGACGTTGTGGGAAAGCTGGACACAGGTGGGGGCTCCATCTCCCCATCAGGCCCCCACTGACCCCACGGTGGGTTGGGGGTGGCTCCGTCACAGAGGTGGGGGTGAGCGGCTCCGTCACAGAGGTGGGGGTGAGTGGCTCCGTCACGGAGGTGGGGGTGAGCGGCTCCGTCACGGAGGTGGGGGTGAGCGGCTCCGTCACGGAGGTGGGGTGAGCGGCTCCGTCACGGAGGTGGGGGGTGAGTGGCTCCGTCACGGAGGTGGGGGTGAGTGGCTCCGTCACGGAGGGGGGGGTTGAGCGGCTCCGTCACGGAGGTGGGGTGGAGCGGCTCCGTCACGGAAGTGGGGTGGAGCGGGCTCCATCACAGAGGTGGGGTGAGCGGCTCCGTCACAGAGGTGGGGTGAGCGGCTCCGTGAGGGCTCCGTCACAGAGGTGGGGTGAGCGGCTCCATCACGGAGGTGGGGGTGAGCGGCTCCGTCACGGAGGTGGGGGTGGCTCCGTCATGGAGGTGGGGGTGAGCGGCTCCGTCACGGAGGTGGGGGTGAGTGGCTCCGTCACGGAGGTGGGGTGGGGGTGGCTCCGTCACGGAGGTGGGGTGAGCGGCTCCGTCACGGAGGTGGGGTGAGCGGCTCCGTCACAGAGGTGGGGTGAGTGGCTCCGTCACGGAGGTGGGGTGAGTGGCTCCGTCACGGAGGTGGGGTGAGTGGCTCCGTCACGGAGGTGGGGCAGTGCTGGTAAAATCCTGATCCGCACTAGGCTCCTCTGCCACCACCCCAGTGGGGAAAGGCAGACATGCTCAGTGGGAGTCTCACCGCCTCCGAGGTCTCGGCTGAAGCACCCTGGGGGAGGCTGTGACAGCGAGTGTGGGCGTCTAGGCTCTCCACCTGACCCCTGCTGCGTGTGTAGGACAGGGTCTGGGCCAGCCCATCAGGCTGCCCCCAGCCCCAAGTGAACAGATAAGATGCCTGGGGCCAGCCTCGTGGCGCAGTGGATTAGGCTGCGGGCTGTGACCCAGCATCCCACATCAGGGCACGGTTCTAGTCCTGGATGCTCTGCTTCCACCCAGCTCTCTGCTAATGCGCCTGGGAGGGAAGCAGGTGATGGCTGACTGCCTGGGCTCCTGCCACCCACGTGGGACACCAGAGTTACAGGCTCCTGGCTTTGACCTGAACCAGCATGTGGAAGATCTCTCCCTCTCTCTCTCTGACCTTTCAAATAACTAAACAAACCTTTAAAAACAACAAAGATGTGTGAATCTCCACAGGTGAGCACGGAGGGGGCAGGTTTCCCCCAGCAGATGAAACCCCTGGCCCTCCTCCTGGAGACCCTCACCCCATCCTCTGCGGTCGCCTGGCTGCCAAAGCACACCCAGGTCTCTGAGCCAAGCCCCCAGGTTCCAGGCAGGCCAGAATCCCTGGGGAGGGAGGGAAGGTGGGGGGACTGCCCCACCCCTGGGGTTATCTGAGGAAGCCCACTGTGGCAGGGCAGGGCCTTCCTCTTGCTTCGTCATCTCTGCTTCCCAACTCCAGGAGGGCCCACAACACACGCTTTTATCTGCCATCCCATGTGCTACGAACGCAGGACGGAGCAGGCCTGGGAAAGCAGTGTGCTCACCGCTTCTGGAATGATCTCTCCCACGGAGTCTGCAGCGCCCTCACCTGACACGGAGAAGTCCCCCAGGCCCCATTCGCCTAGCCACGCCTCTGTGGCAGCCAGGAAAGAGAGGCAGGGCTGACTTTAGGATGAGAATAAAAATGGCCACAAAAACGCAGGCCCCAGTCACCTAAGCTGAGCAAACACAAAAAGTGACAGCAGGCACGGTGCAATGACAGGGTTGCCTGCAGTCACCCGGGGGTGGGGGGCAAGGTGTGTCTGGCCCACACGCTGTCCGCTAAGGCGTCTCACTCTGATGATGCATGAAATTAGCCACCCTGCAGAGCTGCGCCCACATCCACGCCAACCGGCAACGTGGCCTCCTCTCATTACCCTGCCTGCCACACAGCCACCTGGAGGCGTGTGATTGATGACAACCTCATAAACCTGGGGGAACGGGCCGTCCTGGTGCCCTGCAAGAGCGAAGCTGCCACTCACAGTCGCATTAATCATCACGTGTCGATGCTGGCTTCCCCGCAGTCACGCCTTGGTGGGCCACCCCACGGCCTCTAAGATGTGACACAGTTTCTGGGACAGCCGCACCTGCTGCACTCAGGGACACTGTGTCCCGAACTTCAAAGCAAGGTCAGGGTTCATCTCTAATTATCCCACTATGTCCTGGCTCTGACACCCACTAATGGGGCGAAGAAAGGGAGCGGGGGTGTTTACATCAGGAGCAATACTAGACGTGGGGCGCTGGCCTGATTCATTTTGCAGCTTTGGTTTTTCTTTTTATTTGCTCATAATTTTCTACACTACTGCTTCCAATTTGATACAGTCTGGGCCTGAGATGACAGTAAGAATGGGATAACAGATGACGAGCTCACAACAGCAAACACAATCACACTCACCCTGCGTGTATGCACAATCAATATGTCACTCGGAAGAGGGGATCACTGGCCGCTAGGCAGAGCAGGGAATGTAAAATGTCACAGGATTCAAGACGCACTTCTTCTGTGCTTGGGAGCTGTCACCAGAGCGGCCTTGCTCATCTGGAAGGGAAACCAGGCTTAATGTTTCATAAGCAGTTGCCTTAAACTAACAAAGTAGGAACCCAAAGGGAGATTTGGGAGAATTTCCATGGGATCTCTGGCTCTACCTGGCAGGGGTGCTACGGGCTGGGCTGGGCTGGGCTGGGCTGGGCAGGTTTTGTACTAACTCGGAGCCACAACCCCATGGGCCACATTTTGAGTCACACAGTCATTACGTTACCATTACACGCAGCAGCATGAGTGACTTGGAGCTGGTGCTCCCGTGGGCTCATGGGACTGTCATAGAAATGGATCACAAAGACTCAACCTCACAATACCCAAATTTATAACCCAGAAAATCCATGCACAGATCCCTGAATTATAAAACCATTAAACTTCAGTTACGAGGCTCAGTAGGACAAGGGGCCAGTCCATTTACTTGAGATGTTGTGATCAACAAAGCTACCATATAGAAACATGCATGTCACCATTTCTGTGTGTATGTATCGACTATTATGAAAACTCTTAAACAAGTTCTTTAAACATGAGCTTTCTTTGCTGGGAAACATTTCCGCAAGCTGTTAGAAGTCAAATCTTATTCACACTAAACCCTAACTTTAACTGCCCTGTGAGCGGCTTGCTTGCTTGCTTTCTCTCTCTCTCTTGCACTCCTTCCTTCCTTCCTTCTCTGTCTCTCTCTCTTTCTTTCTTTTTTAAGTTGAGCATTTATTCCCAATCCATTAGGAAAAAAGTCCATTTTATGTGGCTACACAACCCTTTACTTCATTTCTTCTGAAGAAAAGTAAAAAAGACTAGACTAAAATCAGACAGGCATTTAAAAATCCTTAGACTAGGAGTCCAAAAACAAACTGCACATGCTTCATTTTTCCAAAAGAATTAGTTTTTGTACAAAATACAATTTTATAGTATAAACAAGGACTGCTGTATACACACTTAAATTAGAATTCTCGTATCTGCTGGACCTCCAATTTGTCTCCAGCACAAAGTATACTTGCATCCATGATCTAAGAATCTGAGAAGGCAGATGTCTTAGAAGAAGTTTTAACCCTAACACAACTGGAAAGGTGGCTCTGATCTTTGCTGGAACAGCACTTTCGCTTGAAGAATTCGCCCTACTGAAACAGAGCAGGCTTCGGGCTCCATGGTGACGTCACCAGGGAGGATGCTGGCATTTGTCCCAACCGCTCCGCTTCTGATCCAGCTTCCTGCTCCCTGCCAATGCATATGTGAAAGGCAGCAGATAATAGTTCAAGTACACAGATTTTTGCCGCCTACACAGCAGGCCCAGATTAAGTTCTAGATTCCTGGCTGTGGCTTAGTCTGACCCTGGGGAGTAAATCGGTGGATGGAAGATCTCTTTCTGTCTTTCTCTCTTTCTCACATTCTGATTCTCTCTCTCTTCTGCTTTCACATACAAGGAAAATACATTTTTCAATGATTTTTTTTTATTTATTTGAGAGGCAGAGTTACACACAGAAAGAGCGAGAGATGGAGAGAAAGGTCTTCCATCTCCTGGTTCACTTCCCACATGGCCGCAAGGCCAACTTTAGCCCATCTGGAGCCAGGAGCCAGGAGCTTCTTCTGGGTCTCCCATGTGGGTGCAGGGGCCCAAGCACTTGGACCATCTTTCATTGCTTTCTCAGGCCATAAGTAGAGAGTTGGATCAAACAGGAGCAGTCAGGACACAAACCAGAGCCTTATGGGATGCCGGCGCCACAGGCAGAGGCTTCACCTACCATACCACAGTGCCAGCCCCAGGAAAATGGATTTTTAAAAGTTACATTTGCATGTGTGTATGTACCACTTTGTGTATGTATATACATACACATGCACAAAGACATTCACGTGTACTATGGTTTTTAATATGAAAAATAAATGACTTGGGGGCCAGTGCTGTGGCTCATTGGGTTAAGCCACCGCTTGTGATGGCAGTATCATTTATGAGCACCAGTTCACGTCCTGGCTGCTCCATTTCTGAACCAGCTCCCTGCTAATGTGCCTGGGAAAGCATCAGAAGATGGCCCAAGTGCTTTGGACCCTGTAATCCATCGGAGAGACTAAGAAGAGACTCCTGACTCCTGGCTTTGGCCTTGGCCATATCAGGTCGTTGTGGCCATTTGGGGAATGAGCCAACAGATGCATGCTTGCTCTCTCTCTCTCTCTTTCTCTCTAACTCTGCCTTTCAAAGAAATACACACATACATACATAAATACAAATAAATTGAATGTATTTGCGATTTGCTAAACAAATTATATGCGTATGTAGATGCATACATCAAATATCACATAGTGTCTATAGAATCCTCTATAGATATTTGTACCTACAGAAAATGACTTCTATTTTTGTCTTCTATTTTTTCTGGATTCCCAGCAACTCTTGGACACCCTTCTACTGCTTGAGGACTGAACTGTTTTCTACTACTCTCTGCCCAAGGTAGAATCCAGCAAGCCCCCTTCCCTGCCTCCTTTGTAGCTAGGACACAAGTGTGTAACTGGTTTCCACCAAAGACCCTCACGCAACACTTCAAAGGGGAAGGCCAGAATGAGCTCAGAGAGGGGTGGCGTTTGCTGGTCAGGGTGTGGTTGGGCCAGCCTCCCTCACACTTGTAAGCTGAGCTTGCGACTCTGGCCCGAGCGCCAGCACTGGATGCCGTGTCAGCCGAGACGAGCCCCGGTGGAGCCCAGGGCGGCATCACGGCGTCACAGGCTCCCTGGTGTTAGCGGCGGCTGCTGCAGCAGCATTTTCTCATCAGGGCAGGCCTGCAGCGTGTCTGCCCATCGCTACTCAAAGCACAGCTCCAAACCCAATTCTCCGGCCCCCAACACTTCCGTGAGCTGCTCGGTCTCCTTCTAGAAACTCTTCCAGTGCCTGGAAAGATGTCCATGATACACAACCCTGGACTCTCCAACTGCGCCCCTGAAGGCCACCATTCAGGCCTTCGGAACTCAAGACAGAGACGCGTGCTCAAGTTCTGCAGGCTGCTGCCGCCTGCTGGCCCCTGGGCCCCTTGAAGCAGCGTGGCCAGCTCTGCACAACAGCACGGGGCTGCACAATGCTGCTGGCACATTTTATCCCATCACACCCTTGTGGTCTTATAAAAACAAATAAGAAAAGATATTAAAATGTTGATATTTGTAACAAGACTATGATGAGGTCTTAAGTGCTTAATAAAATTGAAACAAAGAAATCACTGGGGCACTACAAGGAGAAGCCTTGATTTGCTGCTCATGGGAGGGAAGCAGGCAGACTTGGGGTTCAAGTGCAAAGTCTGAGAACAAATTGCAAGAAGGGGAATGAGATACCAGACTAACTTAGGCCTCTGAGATGCGATCACCTGAGAGAGTGTATGCCTGTTATTCACTTGTGCGTATTTAACTTTTGAATGGCTCTTGAGAAACACATTGTGTGTGAAGGCACAGGGGACTGTTCATATATTCTAAAGTAAAATAAGTAGAATGCAGGAGAGAGCGCCTAGGTGGAGGCCAGATTTAAAACAGAGATGCATGTGCGTGTGCTGTGAGACACTCTGCATGGACACCTGCCAACTCTAGAAAGGTGCTAACTCTGTGGGTAGAGAGGGTAAAGGAATTTCACTTGCTATTTCACATAGCCTTGGATGGTTAGAAATTTTGCAACACATAAGTGTTACATACTGTTAGAATCATCAAAAACCTTAAAGGGATATCCACAGTGAAGCAAACACACAAGCTTTTAAAGTGTTTGAGACATGGAGCCAATATGTAGGGGTGAGGCCCAGCCCCTGGGTCTCTGTCATCTCCCTGACCCTTCCCCAGGTTGCCTGCGGTCTGGTGCTGCCAGGCCACCTCCTAGGCCTTACACCTCGCCACCTAAAACCAGAAGGTTGGCACACACTACTACGTGTGGTCTTCCGGAATTCTTCCCAACAGAACGAGGACTCAGCCCACAACCCAGGCTGAAGCAGGTCACCGCCCCAGGCAGGTGCTCCCCTCCACAGAGCTGAGTGTGGACCCTAACAACGTGGAACGGCGGCAGCTGGACGGACCGTCCTGCTTAGGTGGGATCTGGCCTCACAGAGAGCACAGAGAAACAGGTGAAGTCGGCTCCACTCCACGCCCACAGTGAGGGGAGGCAGCCTCCCAGCCACTCAGGAAGGGGATACACAGCACACAAAGAAACCCAAGGACAGAGAGGAAGCTTTCTATCCTAGTTCTTTGCAGGGAGACAGCTTATCTTCCCCCCCAAATTCTAACAGTTATTGTATGTTCCTTGTAAATAAAAGGACTTCCTGAATCCAAGTGGTTATCAAAATAGAAGGATGGGGGTAAGAGGGTAATGCTGTCTCACTTTGTAAAATGTGTCTTTGGCAGGGCTCCTGGGATGTGCTTCTTCAGGAGCAAGTGAGGTTCACAGCACCTGGGCTCCGGGGTCGGGGGGAAGGGAGAGACATGTGATCCATGCCTGCAGCGGCAGCAGCCCTGTTGGCCGCTGGAGTTCAAGCTCACGGTTTGCATGCTAAGGAAGACCACTTCAGTCCTCTGCATCTTTCTGTTTGTTTCAGTTTACAAGTAAGAAGCGAAAGTTCTCTTCTGTTTCTTTTTAACCCTACTGTAGGGGCAAGAACTGAACCAGGAAGCCTGAAATCCAAGTTCTCACTGAGATGCCTCTCCCTGGTGGCCTGTGGCCCCTGCTCCCTGCGTGCCTCTCCCTCTGCTGTGGTTTCAGCATCTTCACTCTCCAGAACCTGTGAAAACAGGGCTCAGTGGCTGGGCTCTCGTGGTGACCACAGAAATGCCACTGTTGGAATGAGGAAGCAGCAATACCCTGCAGTGGCACTCCCGGCTCACACGCAGGAGTGGCAGTGGTGGGGGTAGGAGGAATGGTGAGCTCAACTTTAGGTTCTCACCCACTGATCATTTACTCTGCACCACGCAACAGCCTCTGCGATGCTGCTGCTTCAGAGGCATTGCTGGGAACTGCCCGGCATCAAGCATCAAGAGAATGGAAGAACAGGTTGTATAAATGTTTTCAAGATTTACTTATTGGGACCAGTGCTGTGCAGTAGTGGATAGAACTGCTGCCTGAAGTGCCAGCATCCCATATGGGCACCGGTTCAAGTCCTGGCTTCTCCATTTTCAATCCAGCTCTCTGCTATGGCCTGAGAAAGCAGCAGAAGTTGGCCCAAGTGTTTAGGCCCCTGCACCTGCATGGGAGACTCAGAAGACACTCCTGGCTCCTGGCTTTGGATTGGTGTAGCTTCAGCCATTGCAGCCATCTGGGGAGTGAGCCAGTGGATGGAAGTGTCTGTCTGTCTCCCTCTCTCTCTCTCTCTCTGCCTCTCTGTAATTCTTTCAGACAAATAAATAAATATTTTTAAAAATATATATAGGCCGGCGCCGCGGCTCACCAGGCTAATCCTCCACCTTGCGGCACCGGCACACCAGGTTCTAGTCCCGGTCAGGGCACCGGATTCTGTCCCGGTTGCCCCTCTTCCAGGCCAGCTCTCTGCTGTGGCCAGGGAGTGCAGTGGAGGATGGCCCAAGTGCTTGGGCCTGCACCCCATGGGAGACCAGGATAAGTACCTGGCTCCAGCTATCGGATCAGTGCGGTGCGCCAGCCACAGTGTGCTGGCCGCGGCGGCCATTGGAGGGTGAACAAACAGCAAAGGAAGACCTTTCTCTCTCTCTCTCTCACTGTCCACTCTGCCTGTCAAAAAAATAAAAAATAAAAAAAATATGTACTTGGGCCAGCGCTGTGGCTCAATAGACTAATCCTCCATCTGCGGCGCTGGCATCCCGGGTTCCAGTTCCGGTCAGGGTGCCGGATTCTGTCCCGGTTGCCCCTCTTCCAGTGCAGCTCTCTGCTGTGGCCCGGGAGTGCAGTAGAGGGTGGCCCAAGTCTTTGGGCCCTGCACCCACATGGGAGACCAGTAGAAATACCTGGCTCCTGGCTTCGGATCAGCGCAGCGTGCCAGCTGCAACACACCAGCCGTAGCGGCCATTGAGGGGTGAACCAACAGAAAAGGAAGACCTTTCTGTCTGTCTCTCTCTCTCACTGTCCACTCTGCCTGTCAAAAAAAAAAAAAATGTACTTACTTATTCGAAAGGTAGACTGAGACAGAGAAGAAAACAAAGAGAGGTCTTCCATTCACTTGCTCACTCTACAAACAGCCAGAGAGGCCAGGTCTAGGAGCCCAGATTTCCATCCAGATCACCCACATAGGTGGCAGGTGTCTCCCACATGGGTGGTGGGAGCACAAATACTTGGGCCATCTTCCGCTGCCTTCTCAGGTGCACCAGCAGGGAGCCGGATCAGAAGTGGTGCAGCCAGGACGCAAAGCTGTGCTATGACATGGGGTGCTGGCACCGCAAGTGGCAGCACCACGACGCCAGCCTGGTTCAGTGTTTCTTCCTTTGCTCCCTCCCTGCTGTGGCCCCGTCACTCTGCAGGTGACTCGCCCAGTGGCTTCCGCTGTCGTGGGGCTCTGCTGCCACCCTTTCCTCTGTCCCTTGGGTCCTGACGGCGGTGACCACCTCGCACTGAGGTCCTTTCCAGGTCCTGCTTCTTCCCTTCATGATACAGCAGACTCACCTCTTCCTTGGACCCTGCTGGGCGAGTTTGTTTCAAGATTCCAGTAGTACATCTGCCATCCTCTGGCTACAGGGTTCTCCTTCTCCCTCCCCAGCAGGTAATGCCAACAGTCTCTGAAACTGTGTGCCCCTTATCCACAGCAACTAGAGTAAGAGCCCCATGGTGCCGGGAGTGGAGCTCACACCTCGAGTGTGTGGGCAGCTGCCTAGAAAAGACACCAAGAGCAAATATTCCTAACCAACGGCAAGGGTCACAGAAGAAAGCTACTGGGCTTCTCTGGTCACAGAAACCATAGCTATCATCGTTTGCTCATTCCACAAAGTTTCTCTGAGCACTTACCAAATGCCAGGAACTTCACTAAGTATAGCAGGCTGACTAGTGGCTCCAAGGAAGACGACTTGTCTTCTATACCCAGAACCTATGGGTACTATTTTACACGGAAAACAGGTGTGAGTTAAGATTTGGAGAGGAAGGTTTGTCCTGAATTACATAGGTGGGCCCTAAATCTGATGACAAGCATCCTTGGAGGGGAGGGGAAGATGTGACGGAAGACGATGTCACACTGGGGACTACTGAGCCGGGACAGGAGAGATGCAGCCACAAGCCGAGGCACACCTGGGCCCACCAAAGGCGGAGAAGGCAAGAGAGCTTCCTCCACTAGCGCCCTTGCAGGAACAGCTGATCTGGGCCTTCGGGTTTCCAGGACCACGTGAGAAGACACACACGGTGAGTGAGGCCCCCAGTGTGTGCATTTTGTTACGGCAGCTGTAGGAAATGCACACTCAAGATATTGCACATACAGTGGGGATCAAAAAAGACACACCCCCTGCCCTCCTGGAATCCAGAGTCTACGGAAGCAAACAGACCCCGAACACAGGAATAAAAATGCACCCGCATGGGAGACCAGGAGAGGCACCTGGCTCCTGGCTTCAGATCAGCGCGGTGCGCCGGCCGCGGCGGCCATTGGGGAGTGAACAATGGCAAAGGAAGACCTTTCCCTCTGTCTCTCTCTCTGTCCACTCTGCCTGTCCAAAAAAAAAAAAAAAAAAAAAAAAAAAAAAAAAAAATACATCGTGACAAATCCAAGTAGGGGAAGGGCTGTGTAAGACAAGGAAGATGAAGACAGCCTGCCTCCCTCTGGGAGCAAGGCTTCGTGAAGAGATCAGCTCGAGCGCTCACTTGAACAGTGAGAGGTGCTGTGGTGTGCGCGCCTGTGGTGCATCCGCACCCAAATGAAGTTTGACCCCCTTGGTGCAGTAGTAGGAGGGTAGAGACAACCTGCTTTAAGTTTCCTCAATGTCTTTTCACAGCCTGCAAGCTCATTTATTGTTGGGTAACAGTGTTCACTGTCTGTACGCACCACAAGCTTATTTACCCAGTCACCTGGTCAAGAACATCTTCAAGTTTTGCCAATTATGAACAAAGTTGCTGTAAGCATCTGTGTGCAGGTCTGGTATAGACATCAGTTTCCAAGTCCTGCCAATAAATACCAGGGCATGTGACTGCTGGTTCATATGGTAAGAGTATTGCTAGTTGGAAAAAGTGTGCTTAGCTTGGTAAAAAGACAACCAAAATGCTTCCCCAAATGGCTATAGCAGTTTACATTCTGATAAGCAGTGAGTGAGAGTCCATACCGCACCACATCCTCCCCAGCATCTGGTGTTCTCGGTGGCCTGGATTTTGACCACGGTAGTAAGTGTGCAGTGGTGCCGCACCATTCTCATTTGAATTTCCCCGGTGACATACGATGTGGAATATCGTTCCATTTGTGTATTTTCACGTGTGCGTCTTCTCTGGTGAAATGTCTGCTAAGGTCTTTGGCCCACTTAACCAGGAAGTTTGCTTTCTTATTGTCGAATCATTAAGAGTTCTTCATGTATTTGGACAATCACGAGATGCCTTTGTGCAAATATTTTCCCCCAGTATTTGCCTTGTCTTTCCCATTCTACTGTCAAGTGTTTGCAGAGCATAAAAATTTCATTTTAATGATGTATGGTTTATCAATTATTTCTTTCATGGATCATGCCTTTGGTGTTATCTAAAAAGACATCGGTAAATACAAGGTCATCTAGACTTCTCCTATTTTTATGGTCTGGAAATGTTATAATTTTACATTTATTTTTGTGATCCACTTTAATTTTTTTTTTTTTTTTTTTTTGACAGGCAGAGTGGACAGTGAGAGAGAGACAGAGAGAGAAAGGTCTTCCTTTTGCCGTTGGTTCACCCTCCAATGGCCGCCGCTGCAGCCGGCGCACCGCGCTAATCCGATGGCAGGAGCCAGGATCCAGGTGCTTTTCCTGGTCTCCCATGGGGTGCAGGGCCCAAGCACCTGGGCCATCCTCCACTGCACTCCCTGGCCATAGCAGAGAGCTGGCCTGGAAGAGGGGCAACCGGGACAGAATCCGGCACCCCGACCGGGACTAGAACCCGGTGTGCCGGCGCCGCAAGGTGGAGGATTAGCCTATTGAGCTACGGCGCCGGCCCACTTTAATTTTTGCAAGGAGTGAAAAATCTGTTGTCTATTTGGGAAGGGGGTATATGGAGGTCCCATTATCCTAGCACCATTAGTTGAAAAGATTACCTTTGTTCCAATACATTGTATTTGCTCTTCTATTAAAGATCAGTTGACTGCTGTTATACCCATCTATTTCTGAGCTCTCCATTCTGTTCCATTCATCTATTTCTTTTATTTTTAAAGATTTATTTATTTATCTGGAAGGCAGAGCTACAGAGAGAGAGAGAAAGAGAGACAGACAGAGAGACAGAGAGACAACAGAGGTCTTCCATCTGCTAATTCAGTCCCCAAATGGCCACAGCAGCCAGAATTGGGCAGATCTGAAGCCAGGACTAACATGCCATAGCACCAACCCCTCATCTGTCCATTCTTTCACCAATACACTGCTCTGACTAATGCTGCTCTGTAGTGAGTTTTAAAGTGAGGCCCTGTCAGTCCTCCAGCTTTGTTCTTGACCTTCAACCTTCAGGGTCTTTTTCTTTTCCATATAAACTTCGGAATCATCTTGTCAGTATTCACAGAATAACTTACTGGGATTTTGATTGGGATTTCTCTGAATCTATACATTAACCTGGAAAGAACTGACATGTTGATGACACTGAGTCTTCCTATCCATGAACATGGAATGTCTCTCCATTTTGTTTTTGATTTCTCTCATCAGCGTTTTCTAGGTCTCCACACAAAGAACTTGTGTTTTGTTTGATATATCAAAAGAATTTCATCTTGGGTGGAGTGCCCATGCAGTTGATGGTATGTTTTTAATTTAAAATTCCCTATGTCCATTGCTGGTATATAGGAAAAAGACTGACATCTGTATCTTAACCTTGCTATAACTGCATTATTTGTTTCAGGAATATTTTACTAGTTCTTTAGGATTTTCTATATATATAATAATGCCTTTGCAAACAAAGAGTTTTAGTTCTTCCTTTCCCGTCTGCATACCTTTCCTTTTCTTGTCTTACTACATTATCTAGGACTTCAAGCACAATATAGAAAACAGGTGGTGAGAAAGGACCCTCTTGCTTTGTCTTTCACCTTAGTGGGAAACTTTCAAGTTTAGCACAGTTGAAGTATGATGCAAGCCATCACATTTTGTAACAATGGGCTAGTGTTGTGGAGCAGTGGGTTGAGAAGCCACCAGCAATGCCAGCATGCCAAGTGAGCACCGGTTTAAGGCACAGCTACTGTACTTCTGATCCAGCTTCCTCCTTCTCTACTTGGGAGGGCAATGGAACTAATTGGCTCTGGTGCTTGGTCCCCTGTCACTCATGTGGGAGACTTGGATGGAGACCCAGCCTCTGCCTCAGCCTCAACCATTTCGGTCACAAGGGACATGAACCAGCAGATGGATCACTAGTCACTCCCAGTCTCTCAGAAACTCAACTTCTCAAACAATAAAGCTTTATTTAAGAAAACTGGGACTTTTGTCAATAGTTTTATCTAACTGAAGTTCCCCTCTATGCGTGGGTCAGAGTTATTGTCAAAAATATGTTAGGGGCTGGCACTGTGGTGTAGTGAGTAAAGCCCCAGACTGCAGTACTGGCATCTCAGATGGGTGCCGGTTCAAGTCCTGGCTGCTCTTCTGATCCAGCTCTCTGCCATGGCCTGGGAAGGCGGTAGAAGATGGCCTAAGTCCCTGGGACCCTGCATTTGTGTGGCAGACCCAGAAGAAACTCCTGGTATCTGGCTTCAGATTGGCTCACCTCTGGCCATTGTACCCATTTGGGGAGTGAACCAGTAGATGGAAGACCTGTCTCTACCCTTCTCTGTAACTCTTTTAAATAAAATAAATCTTTTAAAAAAATAGATGTTAGATTTCATCAAATGCTTTTCTGCCCATACTGACATGTAGTTTACATTCTTTGCCCCACTTACAAGATAGATGACATTGCTTCTGTGGGTATACTTTTATTTATACACTGCAGAGGAAGTTGCAACTTTTCTAAACAATATAAAAATGAGGGCCAACACTGTGGCGTAGTAGGTAGAGCCGCCACCTGCAGTGCTGGCATTCCATATGGGTGCTGGTTCAAGTCCCAGCTGTTCCACTAACGATCCAGCTCTCTGCTATGGCCTGGGAAAGCAGTGGAAGATGGCCCAAGTCCTAGGGTCCCTGCACCCACATGGGAGACCTGGAAGAAGCTCCTGGCTCCTGGCTTTGGATCGGCACAGCACTGGCCGTGGTGGCCAGTTGGGGAGTGAACCAGCGGATGGAAGACCTCTCTCTCTCTCTCTGCCTCTCCTTCTCTCTGTGTGTAACTCTTTCAAATATATAGATAAATCTTAAAAAAAATAAATAAACAGAAATAAGCCAGCCACAGTGAATTAGCACCTTTACAATAAGAAGAATGGACATTCCTAGAAGTCAGTACATAGCGGTATCATCTTTTTAATCAAACAGCAACTACATGAGGCTACTTCATAAAGTTCACAGAAAATGGAATTAAAAAATGGTGTCAAAAAGGAAAAAGAAAATGAAAAAATTGAAGGGGCTGGTGTTGTGCAGCAGGTTAAGCCCCCATCCTATATCCTATATATGAGACACCAACATCCTATATCAGAGCACCAGTTTGAGTGCTGGCTGCTCTGCTTCAGATCCAGCTCCCCGCTAAAGTGCCTGAGAAAACAGGGGAAGACATCCCTAGTACTTGGTTTCCTACTTCCCCTTGGGAGACCCAGAGGGCATTCCAGGCTCCTGGCTTCCGCGTAGCCCAGACCCCATCATATGCTGAGCCTACCAGCAGATGGAGGATCTCTCCTGCTATCTCCCCTCTGATGTTCTCACTTTCAATTGTCAATCTTTGTTCAAAACTGAAAAACATGTATAATTACCTCATAATACGACTTTTCCACGAACTTTTTAAAGACACCCCCTCCCTTTGCACAAATTTCAATACTTTTGCTTCAAAAGGAAAAGTTTCTCTAAATTTCATTTCCACAAACATTTAGGAAAACCTCCATCTATTTATAAAGCAAGTCCTGGTACATCCACAGTACCCAAGGCACCTCTGATGCAGTCACTCAGAAATTACTAAAAGATAAACATCAAACAGGATCCGAATGCTAAAGCAAAGATCTGGGGGGCTAAATAAACATGGGAACCACCCATCTACTTTCAGGAATTCAAGTTCATTGAGAAGTCTGACTACAAAATCCCTTGTCTACCACCTCTCCTATTCTCTCTTCAGAACGTGGCTGTAACAACCTTAAAGCTTCAGCTCCTTCTGAATCGCCCAGAGCGTTTCCGCACTCTTTTTCAAATGGGCCTCCTCTCCGGGGGTCAGCTTTATCTTCACAAGATCTGAAATACCGTTTTCTCCCAGGACGCAAGGCACACTGAGGAATACCTCTTCATCGATTCCATACAGTCCCTGGATTATGGTGGACACTGGATGCATTCTCCTTAGGTTCTTCAGAATGCTTTCTGTTAGATCAGCTACAGAGAGGCCAATGGCCCAAGAAGTGTAACCTTTCATCTTAATAATCTCGTAGGCACTGGCGATCACCTCCCTGTGCACATTCTTCCACTGCTCAGGATCTCGATCCGTTCCGATCTCTGCGTTCAGGTCCTTTAGAGGGACCCCAGCAACGTTCACTCCACTCCACACTGGAACACTCGAGTCTCCGTGCTCTCCAAGAACCCACCCGTGACAGCTTTCAGAGTGGATACCAAGCTTCTGACCGATCAAGAAACGGAAACGAGCAGTATCCAGGTTGCAGCCGCTTCCAATCACGCGGTTTTTAGGGAACGCACTCAACTTCCAGGCTACGTATGTTAAGATGTCCACCGGGTTGGAAACGACAATCAGTTTACAGCTGGGGCTGTACTGGACAATATTGGAAATCATAAACTTGAAGATGGTCACGTTTCGCTGGACCAAGTTAAGGCGCGTTTCTCCTTGCTCCTGGCGCGCACCTGCTGTGATAATCACCAGGCTGGAGTTGGCAGTGACGAGGTAATCTTTGCTGCAGACAATATTTGGCATTTTCATGAACAGGCTGCCATGCTGAAGATCCATCGTCTCGCCTTTCAGTTTTCTTTCATCGACGTCCACAAGGGCAAGTTCGTCACTCAAGCCTTTTAATAAGATGCTGACTGCGCAGGCCATGCCGACCGATCCAGCCCCAATGATGGAGACCTTATTGTGACAAACCGGCTCTTCAGAGGTGAAATTCTGCATCAGCTCACGCTTCACGGTCGCCATCTTGGACACGGGGGTGAACGGCCAGACGGCTGTGAACGGATGGCCAGCTGCCCGGGGAGGACACACGGCCATTGCTGGGCGCAAGAAACTAGTGCGCACTCTCTGGCCGGCCCGCAGCACTCCCAAGGCCCAGCTCATGGCTGTTCACTCAAGATGAGGGAGAACTCCTCCCGGTACGAAGGAAGATGGCTGCTGGGTCCGTTGACCGTTGGCTGCGGTCTTCCCCCTACCGAGCATGCGCAGGCCCGCCCCCAGCCTATGCGCCTGCGCAGTCTCCACCACTAGCCTACTGTGGCTCGTGGGCCTCTGCCAAGTCCTCGGCCGGGCTGCTAGGCCAAGACAGGGAGGGACTTCTTTTCCAACACACGTGTCCTGGACTTAGTTTGACACACGTGTATTTTCTTTAATATCTGATGCATGCAACAGGTCAACCCGGGTCCACTGTGGACTCCTGGGCTTTCCAGACTGCAATGCCTCGCACACCAGCCCCACGCTGACACGGCCAAGCGAGACCCGCTCTCTGGTCAGGCAGCGGTGGACACACCTCCCTTATTGAACCGCGCAGTCCCTTTCATTTTTGCCACTGATAAGCTTAGAACAAATCCGGCTTGCATTCTCACCGCAGCAACAGCACCAAGGAGAACCGCACCTTTCACCGTAGGTCTCCCAGCCTTTAGGCGAGACAGGGTCTCCCCAGCCAAAACGAACAGAATCGGGATAATTTCTTCCCCAAGTGTTGGGTAGACTTTACCTGTGAACTCATCTGGTGCTTCCCGTTTTGGAAGGTTGTAATCACTGACCATACTCTTCAACAGATATTGTGCCTTGCTCCTGTGTGAGCCGTGGTGGGTAGTATGTTTACTTATTGTTTCATTGTCTCCACCCAGCGCTCTCATGTGCATGGTGGGGGACCAGGCACCGGAGCCATCTTCAGATGCCTTCCCAGCCACATTACTGGGGAGCTGGATCAGAAGTGCTGGGATGCAGGCATTGCTAGCAGGTTCTCAACCCACTGCACAACAACACTAGCTGATGGCTACAAAATGCTTTGACTTGCATCACACTTAAAATGTGCTAAACTCAAATGTTTCCCACTAAGGTGAGGGACAAAGCAGGAGAGTCCTCTCTCACCACCTGTTTTCTATATCATGCTTGAAGTCCTAGATAATGTAGTAAGACAAGAAAAGGAAAGGTATGCAGACTGGAAAGGAAGAACTGAAACTCTGCTTGCAAAGGCATTATTCTGTGTGTAGAAAATCCAGGGGTCTGGCACTCTGGTGCAGCAGGTTCAAGACCCTGCTGTTCCACTTTCGATCCTGCTAATGTGCCTGGGAAAGCAGGATAGGATGATCCAAGTCCTTGGGCCCCTGCATCCATGTGGGAGACCCAGACGAAGCACCTGGCTCCTGGCTTCGGATCAGCTCAACTCTAGCCATTGTGGCCATTTAGGGAGTGATCCAGACCCCTCTCTCTTTCTGTCTCTACCTCTCTCTGTAACTCTGTCTTTCAAATAAATAAATAAAAAAACTTTAAAAAAAGAAAGAAAATCCAAAAGAACTAGCAAAATATTCCTAAAACAAATAATGCAATTATAGCAAGGTTATAGGATACAAGGTTAAGATATAAATGTCAATCTCTTTCCTATGTACCAGCAATGGACATAGGGAATTTTAAATTAAAAACACACCACCAATTACACGGGCACCCCATGCAAGATGAAATTCCTTTGATATGTCAAATAACACACTTACAAAATCTATGTGGGGAGAGCTAGAAAATGCTGATGAAAGAAAGAAAAACTATATGGAGAGATATTCCACGTTCGTGGGTAGGAACACTCAGTGTTGTCAACGTGTTAGTTCTTTCCAACTTAGTGTATAGATTCAGAGAAATCCCAACCATAATCCCAGTAAGTTATTCTGTGAATATTGACAAGCTGATTCTGAAGTTTATTCGGAGAGGAAAAAGACCTCGAAAAGCCAGAATGCTGAAGGTCAAGAACAATGCTGGAGGACTGAAAGGGCCTCACTTTAGGACTCCCTGCTGGGGCCCTGCTGTGGCACAGCGGGTTAACGCCCGGCCTGAAGCGCACCCCATATGGAAGAAGCTCCTGGCTTCGGATCAGCGAGCGCCGGCTGTTGTGGTCATCTGGGGAGTGAACCAGCAGATGGAAGACTTTTCTCTCTCTGTCTGCCTCACTTCTCTCTCTGTGTAACTCTGACTTTCAAATAAATAAATCTTAAAAAAAAAAAAAAAAGACTCACTGCAAAGCAGCATTAATCAGAGCAGTTGGTATTGGTGAAAGAAAGGAACATAACAGAGAGCCCAGAAATAGATCCATTTAAAAACAGTCAACCGATGTTTGCTAAAAGAGCAAACGCAATGTATTGGAACAAAGAAAATCTTTTCAACCAATGGTGCTAGGATAATGGGACTTCGCCGTACAAAAAAAAAAAAAAAAAGTCAACAGATTTTTTCACTCTTCAAAAAAATAAGACAGATCACAAAAATTAACGTAACATTAGAATATTGCCATGTAAGAAAATAAATAAAAGAGCAAAAAAAGAGAGAAGTTACCCTTTTATGGACTTGTTTTTATCGGTTCACTAAAGCGCTAAAATTGCATGAGCTGTTTTCCTCTGCCTTCTGTTTTGCTGTGGCAGTGTTGTTGCTGGTGTTGTTGAGCAGAGCTCTAGAACTGTGGAGCTGGGCCTTGTTTTAAGAAGTGATGAAGATTCCATTTCAGCTTCTTTAAAAATCTGGTTCTACGATCTAGGGTACGTTTAGCATTGCACATTTACATACCAGAACCGTATCTGATTTCTCCGTTTTTTCATATTTGATTTGCTCTCTCTCCTCTCCTATCCATCTTATCAGAGGTTTATCTATTTGATTAGTCTTTCTAAAAGTGCTTTTAGTTGATTTTGTCTGAATGTATTGAGTTCTGAGTGCATTCTTCCACATGTCCCTCTTCCTGTGTATTGGGGCTTCCTTTGTGTCTTGTTGGAAATTTGTCCACCTGACGGGTACTTGCTGCATTCTCCGCGTGTGATGAGTGTGCAAAGCTGTGCCTTCACCCGGGTGTACCTCTGGGAACGTGCTTCCTGACACCCGACGCACACGCTGTCACGGCCTCCATCTCGAGGTAATTCATAGTCCCCTTTAGTTTCCCTCATAGCCTGGTGCTATTTGGTAGTGTTTTTAAAGCTTCTAGATATATAAGGCCTTCATTTTTGAGAAGGATACAGTGGAACGAGAGCTTCTCCACAGGTTCCCTCCCCAGTGCTCACAGTGGCCAGGGTTGGGCTGGGCTGGGCGTGAAGCCAGGAGCCAGGTCCCCCACATGGGTGGCAGGAACCCAAATACTTGAACCATCACCACTGCCTCCCAGGGGCTGCTTTGGCAGGATGGGCAGTGAGAGCCAGGGTCAGGAATCAAACCCACACCCACCGACAGACAGTTTTTACCATCTAATGCAGCTGAGTCATGGCCAGGACATCGTATGATGTTGATTCTTTTAAACTTACGAAGATTTTAAATGTAAGCAAAGCTTCTGTGGCTGCTGTGGCTCCAATGGCCCCTCCAAAACGGATGTTGACATTTAATTGCTGTATGAAGAGCAGTAAGAGAGGTGGCCGGGCCAGGTAGACACTGCCCTCAGGAATGGACAAGGGCTGTTACCAAAGGAATGGTCTTGTCACCAAAACCAGCTGGCAATGGAAGGGTGAGTTCAGCCTTCCTGCTCGCTCTGTGTGGGCATCGGGCAGCTTCAACCCTTCCGTGCCCTCTGCCATCAGGGCACAGGAAGCCCTCACATGTGAGAAGGCTGTGTCTGTTTCTGGGGTGATGACAGATAAATCGCATCACCATAATTTTCCATATCTTCGCCTCTTCTTTTATGCTTCAACTACTGGTGTTTGGGAGGGAATAATGAAATCTTCCAGTGTGATTTGTGGCGTATTTCTTACTCCAGCATTCAGTTTTTGCTTTATGTGTTTTGAAGCTGCATTGTGTGGACACGCATGTTCATAATCATGCTATTTCCTTATATGTTGTTTTACCAACATACAACATCCTCACTTTTCCCTTTCAATATTTCTATGTTTAAAGATTTATTTATTTGAAAAGTAGAGTTGCAGAGAGAGAGAAAGAGGAAGAGATCTTTCATCTACTGGTTCACTCCCCAGCTGGCTGCCACTGGCCAGGACTGGGCCCGGCTTAGACCAGGAGCCTGGCACTCCAGCACATCTCCCGTGTGGGTGACCAGGACCCAAGCACCTGAGCCATTGTCAGCTGCTTTTCCAGGTGCGCTATCAGGGAGCTGGATCACAAGTGGAGCAGCTGGGGCTCAAACCAGCACCCATTTGGGATGGCAGCATTGCAGACGGTAGCCCAATCCAGTGCACCACAATGCCAACCAGCCCTTTCAATATTTCATACCTTATATTACCACTTCTCTGACATTGCAATTCCTACCCTGGCTTATTTCTGGTGAATATTTTACTGTTCTTCTCTATCTTGAAGCAATATTGCTTTTTATCTTTTTAATTGAATTAGAATCGCTGCCACTGGATTCATGAGTTTAAACTGTTTACAGTTATGTCCTTCCCCTCATATGACCATCCTTCTGCCTTTTGTGTTTTCTTCTCTCAGCTCCTCTTCTCCCTTTCCTTTTTTACATTCGGTGGGACAGGTGGAACTGTTTTTTGCTGGTTTGAACATTAAACATCCTATTTTCATTCTTCCAGGAGTTATCCCTAAGCAGTTAAGAACCATGTCTTTTTTCTCCTCTCAATTTTTTAATCTATCTGTACGTTTTTCCTCCAGAAAAAATTTCAGAAAAACAGACAAAGTCCAAGCCAAATGAGAGAAAGAAGGAAAGGAGGGAGAAAGAGCCTGGTGTGAAACAAGGGAGAGGGAAATGGACACGAAGAAGCTACTGAGGACCCTGCTCGGGGCCAGGAGTCCCCCACGCCTGCGTGCTCATGTCAGGATGGTGAGAGGACTGCGAGAGCCGGCTGCCTGCTAATGCTCCCGGGAAAGCAGCGGAAGATGGCCCAAGGGCTTACACCCACATGGGAGACCCGGAGGAAGCTCCTGGCTCCTGGCTTTGCAACTGCAGCTCCGGCTGTGGTGGCCACTTGGGGAATGAACCAGCAGGTGGAAGTTCTCTGTCTCTGTCTCTCCTTCTCTCTCTGTAATTCTGCATCTCAAGTATAAAAAATAAATCTTAAAAAATAAGACACTGCTCAGGACTCCTGCACGGGAGTTGGGGTCCCTGGGTTTAAGTCTCCTCTCTGCTTCCATATTCCAGCTTCCTTC